TTCTTATTTATGTACTCATGTTGCCTTTGTACTTGTCTGGCTCCCCTTCTGACCTTGAGTGCAGAAACGTCATATTTGGGGCTATAGCCCCAACAAATATTGAGTATCTATCACACCTGGCACATAATAGATAATGACTGATGAATGAATTAATATAGACTTGCTTGGCCCTTCAAGGAAAACAAACAAACAAACATTAAAAGCTTTCAGGATACAGAGTTCATACTACAGTCACTAAAAACTATTCTGCTGGTAAATTTCAGTTCTTTCTCACCTGATCGGTATCGTTCATCCCTGGCTCCCCCAGATCGAGTTCGGTGGTACTTAGAAGGAGCAGAAGTTTGAGCTGCGGATGGAGCAGGTGTCTGGTTTCTATGTTCTTTTTGTACTGCTGACTCAGTTTCTAAAAAAGGAAATTTGGAATATGGTTATCTGATAACAATAGTAGCTAAAGTTTTCTGAGCACTTTATGGCATTCTCACAACACTCTGAGGCAGGTACTATTACCCCATTAGAGAGCTTCACTATACATACCTAAAAAGACATCCAGGCTAAAAAATATAATCTTAGAGTCATAATTGTCAACAGATGATAGGAGAGAAATAGCAAAATAGGAGAGAAAGTGAAAAGGCCACTCCAGAAGAATTTTTTTTTAATGTTTATTATTTTCTGAGAGAGAGCTTGAGCAGGGGAGGGGCAGAGAGAAAAGGAGACACAGAATCCAAAGCAGGCTCCAGGCTCTGAGATGTCAGCACAGAGCCTGATGTGGGGCTCGAACTTGTGAACAGTGAAATCATGACCTGAGCCAAAACTGGACAGTTAACTGACTGAGCCACCCAGGTACCCCCAAAGAGTTTAAGAATTGAGGGTGTGGGGGGGGGATGGAGGGGTGTATATGACCCCCTAATCCTGCATAATGGTACAAAGAATAGCTTGGGGACCTTTAGCCTCTTCACTATAAGTTACTCCAAATAAACATGTCATTTAAGCAAAACTATAGTGCTTATTATGCAAACATAGCTTTTTGAGTCAACCTCTTTCAACTAGAATCACCACTGAACTTGCCCCTCTCCAGTACCTGGCCTAACCCCATTCTCTGTCCTATCAACATTCACTGTCTTATCAAGAATATGGGGAAGTGGAAATAAACAGGTAAAATAATCAGAAGAGAAACACTTTAAGTTCAGTCCCACAAACCACGAGCTGAAACCAAGAGTTGGACGCTTAACCAACTGAGCCACCCAGGTGCACCTCATATACTGTTTTTAGGAAGGCAAGAAGAATATATTTTAGAATGCTCTCCACTAAAGTGCTTTTATGGATCTAGAAATGTTTATTTTTGATGGTTCCTGGCAGCTGAAAATTTTAATATAAAATATATTAACAGAGCAGAACCTATTTTAACACTGATATTTTGAAATATAATGTCTGGGGGCACCTGGGTGGCTCAGTCAGTTAAGCATCTGACTTAGGTCATGATCTCGTGCGGTTCATGAGTTCGAGCCCTGCGTCGGGCTCTGTGCTGACAGCTCAGAGCCTGAAGCCTGCTTCAGATTCTGTGTCTCCCTCTCTCTGCCTCACCCCTGCTTGCACTTTGTCTCTCTCTGTATCTCAAAAATGTATAAATGTTAAAAAATTTTTTTGAAATGTAATGCCTGTGATTGTAAACTGAAGTTTTAAATCAACCTAAATTCTTTTGATAATCCATTTCACAGAAGAGCTATACTGAGTTCTTAGTATTTTCACACCTTGCTTCATCTCTTAGTATATAAAGAATCAACAAACTATAGCCCATGTCTGTTTATAAGCAGTTTTATCAGAACATAGCCATGCCCATCTGTTTACATACTGCCTTGTAGATGCTTTCACACTGTAAAGGTACATGGAGTAATTAGATAGAGACTGATGGTCCTCAAAGTGTAAAATATCTACTATCTGGCCCTTTATAGAAAAAGCTTACCAACTCCCAGTCTATAATAAAAGCTAACATTTAAAGGTTTGTTTTTGCTAGGCACTGTGCATACAGCAGTTTTCATATGTTATTTACTCCTCACAACAATCCTACAAAGTCAGCAGTAACACTTTCAACTTATTATAGAAAAGGAATCAGAGACATGGATTATTTTATGCAGCCACACAGAGGCAGGGAATGGCAAGAGGCAGAATTCAAACCCAGATCTGTCTAACTCCACTGGTTCTCAATCAGAAAAGATTATGGGGAAGGAAGGAAGGAAGGAAGGAAGGAAGGAAGGAAGGAAGGAAGGAAGGAAGGAAGGAA